CGAGAGAGGCCCAGCTATTACTGCTCACCTTCACCATCACAGGAGCGAGCTTTCTCCAATTCAAACCACCTCACATGCACTCTCTTCCCCCAACCAAGCAGTAGCTCTGAGCTTACTCCTGTGATGGTGGGGAAAGCAGTGATGGCTAGGCACTTCTTAGCAACATCCTTAGCAACGTCCTGGGAGTATTCCAGTCAGCCTTAACCACTTCCCGTCCAGCCGTTGTATATAAACGGCCAGACGGTGGCAGTGCAGGGTTGGGTGGCCGTTATAAACAGCCTCCCCGCTCCCTGGGAGCGCGCGCAGCACCGCGATCTGGTGCCCGCTGTGTCCTCCGGACACAGTGAAACACCGATCAGCGTACGGGACCTCTCTGCGAGGTCCTGATCATGTGATCACCGATTGGCCAATCAGTGATCACATGCAGAGTAGTAAGCAAGATGTCACTTGTGACATCGTTGCTTACTACGTGTGAAATCTGTGAATGATCACAGAGGTCACATGGTACAAGGCTATTTACACCAGCCTTGTACCATGTGACAAGCTGTCACCAATCACAGCTCACTCAGTAGTTCTCAATGGCTGCAAGAATGCAGACAGAGAGGAGAAATGATTGCTTTTACATCCTATATGGGTGTAAAAGCAGTCAGTGTAAAAAAAAAAAATCTTCATCACCCCCCACAAGTAGTACAGTGTCACCATGGTGACACTGTACTGCTAGGGTGACAGTATGTTAAAAAAACAAAAACATAAATAATAATATAAAAAAATAAAATAAAAATGTTTAACAATTATAATTTTTGGCTATAAACTAATTTGGGTTTTTTTTTTTTTTTTACTAAAAAGATAACGGAATAAATTTTGGCCAAGATTTATGATGAAATATTATTTATTTGCAAAATTTTATAAGAAAAAAACACTTTTTTAAAAAATTTTTGGACTTTTTCATTTACATAGCAAAAAAAATAAAAATCCCAGCGCTGAATAAATACCACCAAAAATAAAGCTTTATCTGTCTCAAAAAAAATGGTAAAAAATTCATATGGGTACAGTGTTGCATGACCGCGCAATTGTCATTCAAAGTGTGATAGCGCTGAAAACTGAAAATTGGCCTGGACAGGAAGGGGGTGAAAGTGTCCGGACTGGAAGTGGTTAATAAAGTATGTAAATGGTCTACACCTACAGCAAGGTTGTTTATCAACTTTGGTCAAAGCTGCATAGTTTTCCTTTTATCTACAGAAATCCCTTACCTGCACATACACTATTTTACCAAAAGTATTGGGCCAGCCCTCCAAATCATGTGATTCAGGTGTTCCAATCCCCTCCATGGCCACAGGTGTATACAATCAAGCCCCTAGGCATGCAGACTGCTTCTACAAACATTGGTGAAAGAATGGGTCGCTCTCAGGAGCTCAGTGACTCCAAGCGTGGTCCCGTGATAGGTTGTCACCTGTGCAATAAGTCCATCCGTGACATTTCCTGGCTACTAAATATTCCATGCTCAACTGTTAGTGGGATTATAACAAAGTGGAAGCAACTGGGAACAACAGCCACTCAGCCACCAAGTGGTAGGCCACGTCACATGACAGAGCGGGGTCAGCACATGCTGAAGCGCACAGTGCGCAGAAGTCACCAACTGTCTGCAGAGTCAATAGCTAAAGACCTCCAAACTTCATGTGGCCTTCAGATTAGCACAACAACAGTGCGTAGAAAGCTTCATGGAATGGGTTTCCATGGCCGAGCAGCTGCATCCAAGCCTTCCATCACCAAGTGCAATGCAAAGCGGTGGAATCAGTGGCGTAAAGCACGCCGCCACTGGATTCTAGAGCAATGAAGACGTGTTCTCTGGAGTGACCAATCACGCTTCTCTGTCTGGCAATCCAATGGGCATGTCTGGGTTTGGGGGTTTGCCAGAACGGTACTTGTCTGTCTGCATTGTGCCAAGTGTACAGTTTGGTGGAGGGGGGATTATGGTGTGGGGTTGTTTCTCAGGGGTTTGGCTTGGCCCCCTAGTTCCAGTGAAGGGAACTCTAAAGGTGTCAGCATACCAAGACATTTTGGACAATTTCATGCTCTCAACTTTGTGGGAAGAGTTTGGGGATGGCTCCTTCCTGTTCCAACATGACTGCACACCAGTGCACAAAGCAAGGTCCATAAAGACATGGAGGAGCCAGTTTGGGGTGGAGGAACTTGACTGTCCTGCACAGAGTCCTGACCTCAACCCCATAGAACACCTTTAGGATGAATTAGAGCGGAGGGTCTGTCGGGTTTCTTCTCTCTCTCAGCCCGCTGCAAAGCGCTGATCAATTGTTGGTGTTCCAGTATGTCAGTCGTCAGACTGGCTACTGTTGAACAGAAAAGAGAACACACATCCTGAAAATCGTCGGGTTCCTGTTTTCGGTCTGTGAGTACTTGGCTCCAGTAGTTGTGATGATATGTACAGTTTTACTAACAGAAATAGCGGTCACATGATTGTGAGTCCGTCTTGCTGGCTTCCAATCTCAAATGCTGACCGGGAACTGTCGGTGAACGCTCGGTGTACTTGGAGCGTGCAGTGAGGTAGCTCCCGGCACACAACTTCAAAGCCTTATGGATCCATATATGCAGCAGACGGGCGATAACAAAAAGCACAGTGATGGATGAAAACGCAGCTGCCCAACGCCCACCCCAAAAACAAACACATAAATGTAAATGGGCCCTAATAGAAGCTGTGGCACAGGACGAAAGTCCAGCCAAGCCGCCATTCTGCAATAGGCTGGGCAGGACTTTCATCATTGCGGGTGGACGTCATATGACATTCCGTTGAAACGAGTCTCATGTGCGGCCATGCGGGCGCGATTTGTCACCGGCTGAGTCCAGGGGACATAACCAAGTACCGCCCGCTACCGTGTGATCACTGTGACCAATCACAGAAGATCACATGACAACTGTAAATAATGAATGTCTTAGATTCATGCAATTCATTTGTGTAAAATTGTGTTGCTCGCTGTGATTGGTCAGTGATCACAGGGACAGGGACAATCACAGCTCATTTGTACCATGTGATTAGCCAGTCACAACAGCAAACACTGAATGAATCAATTTCATTCAGTAAAAACGGTTGCTTATAACAGTGAAATTCACTGGTATAAGCAATCATAATGTGTAAAAAAAGAAAAAAAATCTTGATCACTTCCACAGAGTAGTACAATGTTACTATGGAAACATTATCCACTTCTGGACCAGCGATATACCCGTAGGTCGCTGGGCTTTTGGTGGTTGTACCAGAGTGATGAAGGCATAACCCCCGTACTGTTTTTTAGAGCCAGTGGTTGGCTCTCTTGTACAAGCTAACTAGCTGCTCCATTGCTTGTACAAGCAGTGGGAGGGGACATTCCCCCGCCCCCCCCCCCCCCCCCCCCCCCCCCCCGCCCCTACACGGCTCTCTCAGGATCTCCTATCCCACCAGGAATCTGGAGCAACCGGCTGTCACATCCACTGGCTGGGTGGACAGCCGAAAAAAAGCCAGGATTGGCTTTGATTGGCTCTCCGTTATAGTAATCCGGAAGCAATGACCTGACATCACTTCCGGTTTACTCGGAAGCTTTCGGCGCCATTTTTAAAAATCTGAAACAATTCAAAAGCACAGATCTTGGTGTTCTGAATGATTTCAAGTGTAGATGTGGGATTTGGGGTCCCATAGACTCCCAGATCACTCCATAAAAATACCTGACACGTGCCTATTGCTGTCACAGAGGATGTTCACATTCCTTTTGACAGCAATAAAAAAAAAAGAAAAGTAAAACGATGGTGTAAAAAATAAAAAAAATGAAAGAGCCCCGTGCTCATGTGCAAAGGCGTATGCACGGATCGGTCTCGCACACAAAAACAGCGATCGTCCCACACATGAGGTATCACCACAAATGACAGATCGCGGGCAGTAATTCTGTCCCCAGACCTCCTCTATAAATCCAAACAGGTAACCTGTGAAGGCTTTTAAAGCATCGCCTATGTATAGTAAGATATACGGCGTTTGTCCCGTTTGTACGGACGGGTGCAATTTTTATAGCGTGACGTGTTTGGTATCTATTTAGTCGGCAAAACATTATCTGTTATATTATTATGTTTTATGTGATGTATTGTGGGGGGTTTTTGCAGTAAAATTCCAAAAAGTGTATTTTTTCCCAAAAACTGCATTTGAAAAACTGCTGTGCAAATACCGTGACATAAAAAAATGCAAAAAACACCAATTTATTCTCTAGGGCCCCTGATTTAAAAAAACCACGTATATAATGTTCGGGGATTCTAAGTAGTGTTTTAGCAAAAAAATACTGATTATTACAGATATTAAGTGTCAGAACAGGCCTGGTCTTCAAGGGGTTAAGGTCCCTAGATCTGTGACACAGGCTGCACCTGTAGTGGCAAGCTGAGACCTTGAGGGGAGGGTCAGGTGATCTCCAGCTGAGTCCCCCTGGGGGAGGGTTACGTGATCTCCAGCTGAGCCCCCTGGGGGAGGCTCACACGATCTCTAGCTGAGCCCCTGGGGGGAGGGTCACACGATCTCTAGCTGAGCCCCTGGGGGGAGGGTCACACGATCTCCAGCTGAACCCCCTGGGGGAGGGCCACGTGATCTCCAGCTGAGCCCCCCCCCCCTGGGCCACGTGATCTCCAGCAGCTGAGCCCCTGGGGAGGAGGGTCACGTGATCTCCAGCTGAGCCCCTGGGGGGAAGGTCACGTGATCTCCAGCTGAGCCCCTGGGGGGGAGGGTCACGTGATCTCCAGCTGAGCCCCTGGGGGGGAGGGTCACGTGATCTCCAGCTGAGCCCCTGGGGGGGAGGGTCACGTGATCTCCAGCTGAGCCCCTGGGGGGGAGGGTCACGTGATCTCCAGCTGAGCCCCTGGGGGGGAGGGTCACGTGATCTCCAGCTGAGCCCCTTGGGGGGGGGTCACCCAATATCCATCCACAGCAGATGTCACATGACCCGCCCCCCAACCTTCCTCGGTCTCCATGGTAACCTCACCTGCAGGTCCTGGACGGAGATCTCCATGGTGGTCAGGTAGAAGTAGGGGACTCCGCTGCCGTGGCCCCGGGAACCGTCACTGACCGAGAAAATGTTAGCAAAGGGTTGGCCCCTGACGGGCTCATGGCTGGAGATGGTGGCCAGGGCGCCCCAGTCGCAGTGATGGGCCACGAAGCGCGCCACCCGGGCCGTCTCGTTGTGCGGGGGGATGTGTGCCCGGGAGGGGGGCACCCACAGCAGGACGAGGTGGAGGAGGAGGACGGACACCCCGCAGGACACAGCAGCCAGTTGCGACATCTCCAGAGAATGAAAGTCAGAACCGAGCGCCGGACAGTTCCTACTCCAGGACAGCCAATCGGCCGTGGCCATCTGACCCGTTTAGCCAATAGGAGCGGGCTAGAGGCGTGACCAGTACGATGTAAACAAGCATTGAACTCTGGTCTTATCTTATTGGTTCTTTTCCTTTTTCTGCCCTTCCTACTAGCCAATCGTATAACAGCATTTCTGACAGGAGCTTATCGTGGTGGAGGAGGGGGCTGTAAAGTGACGTAAAAGGACCAATCACCGGGAGGTGGGCTTCCATGTTGACCAATGAGATTGTAAAAGAGGAGGAATAGAGTTCTGTGTAACAAATTAAAGGTACAGTGCTCCTGGTTTGGAGTCAGGAGATGGTGCAGCGAGGAGAGCCTGGACCTTGTGTGTGTTATGCAGAATTACATCATATCTGTTCACACTGACGTCTGGCCGACTGATAACACGTGACTACAGGGAGGGACTAGGATTGCCACCACATCTCTATAAAACCGAACACATATTAAAGTGTTACTAAACCCTGGACCCTGCATTCACTATATCCGGTCTCCCCGGACCCTGCGTTCACTATATCCGGTCTCCCCGGACCCCGCGTTCACTATATCCGGTCTCCCCGGTCCCCGCGTTCACTATATCCGGTCTCCCCGGACCCCGCGTTCACTATATCCGGAATCCCCGGACCCCGCGTTCACTATATCCGGAATCCCCGGACCCCGCGTTCACTATATCCGGAATCCCCGGACCCCGCGTTCACTATATCCGGAATCCCCGGACCCCGCGTTCACTATATCCGGAATCCCCGGACCCCGCGTTCACTATATCCGGAATCCCCGGAACCCGCGTTCACTATATCCGGAATCCCCGGAACCCGCGTTCACTATATCCGGAATCCCCGGAACCCGCGTTCACTATATCCGGAATCCCCGGAACCCGCGTTCACTATATCCGGAATCCCCGGAACTTGCGTTCACTATATCCGGTCTCCCCGGACCCTGCGTTCACTATATCCGGTCTCCCCGGACCCTGCGTTCACTGTATCCGCTCTCCCCGGACCCTGCGTTCACTGTATCCGGTCTCCCAGGACCCTGCGTTCACTGTATCCGGTCTCCCAGGACCCTGCGTTCACTATATCCGGTCTCCCCGGACCCTGCATTCACTGTATCCGCTCTCCCCGGACCCTGCATTCACTGTATCCGGTCTCCCAGGACCCTGCATTCACTATACCCGGTCTCCCCGGAGCCTGCATTCACTATACCCGGTCTCCCCGGACCCGGCGTTCACTATATCCGGTCTCCCCGGACCCTGAATTCACTATATCCGGTCTCCCCGGACCCGGCGTTCACTATATCCGGAATCCCCGGAACCCGCGTTCACTATATCCGGAATCCCCGGAACCCGCGTTCACTATATCCGGAATCCCCGGAACCCGCGTTCACTATATCCGGAATCCCCGGAACCCGCGTTCACTATATCCGGAATCCCCGGAACCCGCGTTCACTATATCCGGAATCCCCGGACCCTGCATTCACTATATCTGGTCTCCCCGGACCCTGCATTCACTATATCCGGTCTCCCCGGACCCTGCAGTCACTATATCTGGTCTCCCCGGACCCTGCATTCACTATATCCGGTCTCCCCGGACCCTGCATTCACTATATCCGGTCTCCCCGGACCCTGCAGTCACTATATCTGGTCTCCCACAGTACACAACATGAGCAGTATATAGCAGTCTTGTGACTTCTATCAGCATCCAGCAGAGCACTGGTTACTAGATCTGCCTGTGTCTCTAAATGGTTGTTAGTAACATCATTCTCTACCATTTGTAGGTATTTTTGATTAGATATGAAGATAGGATGTTTATTCTATAATTATATATTTATTTTAAATACATTTTTAATTATTCTATCTATCTATCTATCTATCTATCTATCTATCTATATGTATTCTATCTATCTATCTATATGTTTTTTTTCAATTTAATTTATTGATGTCATTATTTTTGTAGAATTTATTTTAGATTTTTTTGTTTGTTTAATTATCCCCTCCGGTCTATTCATTGTACCAGAGAGGGGATATTGTGTATTTTATTGATTTTGTACACTAGATGGCAGCATGGATGTACATTCTTTCTATTCATGCCTTGTTAATTTGGAGCAGTAACATTTTTGAACCTGATCTGGATGAATAGATTTATTATACATATTTTTACATAATCCACAAATTAAACACCATTATTGATCTGGCCATCTAATGTGGACCTGGCCATTCTATATGGATCTGGCCATTATGTATGTCCCCTCCAGTTCTCATATTGAGTCTTGATTTTCATACTGGTCTCTTTGGTATTCCACACTGATGGATGGGATTGTCAAATCGAGACTTGGATTTACTTCCTGTATGGACCTGTCCATTCTATGTGGACTTATATCATATGTGAATCTGGCCACTTTTTATAGATTTGGCCATTGTAAATATCTCTCTATGATTTACATTGAGGCTTGGTTTGCAAACTGTGCTCCTGCCTCATTCCAGAGAATGTTGGACAGAACGTTAAGACCACATCGCAGCTGCCTATTTGGACGATCCACAGCCCAGATTGGGAGTCTCATTTGCCTCAGTTGCAATCAGTAGGAAATTTGCTTAGGAAAGCAGGTCTTACCGCCAACGCCATAGGCTTGGAGGAGGCCAAATACCTTGGCTACATTATTGGTCGAGGACTGATTAGACCTCAGATCAATAAAATTGAGGCAATTCAAAAGGGGCCCCAACCCATAAATAAAAAGCAAGCACGGGCATTTCTTGGGATCACAGGCTACTATAGACGTTTTATACCCAGTTTTTCCACCATTGCAGCCCCACTGACAGATCTCACAAAAGGTAGGGGGTCGGTTATGATTGAGTGGAATCCTGAGGTGGAGACGGCATTTCAAATGTTGAAATAAGCTCTTTGTGCCAAACCTGTGCTCATGACCCCAGATTTCACAAAAGACTTTGTGTGGTACAGACGGATGCCTCTGATGTGGGACTCGGTGCTGTACTGTGCCAAATCAGAGAAGGGGAGGAGCACCCGTGGTCTTCCTGAGCAGAAAGCTTAAAAAACATGAGAAAAACTATGCAATTATTGAGAAGGAACGTTTGGCTATCAAATGGGCCTTGGAGGCCCTAAATTATTACTGTCAGACACCGCTCGGTGGGATCTCTAGTGATCCACAGAACGGGATTCCCCAGGACGCAGAGTCTAAGTCTCAGTCTGCCTTTTCACCAGAGCCCCTGATGGTGGGGATGGACTTGGTGCAAGACTGAAACCAAGTCGCAGCCCCTGAGTGCACCCAACTATGGTAGAGGGGTCCCGCTGAGGGTATGTGCCAAGGGGTGAGACTGATGTGAAGAGGCTGACAGGTCCAGGTCCCGAGCGGGATGGACGGATGACAGTCAGGAATGAGCGTAGTCAGACTAGCCGGGTCGGTAACGGTGGAGGCAGGTAGGTACCAAGCAGTAGACGGAGAGTAGCCGGGTCATGAGCCAAGGTTCAGCAATGGGAGGTCCAATAATAATAAAAATGACAGGCAGAGGAATAGTCAGGGACGAGCCAGGGGTCAGAGCAGGAGAAGGTCAACACAAATCAAGACAGGCAGGATCGGCAACAGGGAACGCACTTCAGAAACACAGGTACAGGAACTAGACCTTGCGGCAACCTGATCACCACCTGGCCATTTTAAAAAGTGCGCCCTGCACCGTCATTGGTGCCAGGCGTGCGCCCGCCGCCGCCGCCTAGGTCCTAGTGCCTGCACATTGGTGCGTCTAGGCAATCTGCGCATTCGCAGACCTGTGCGCCGTGGCGAGACCCGCAGTCCCTGACAATTACCTTTTGGGGAGACAATTCAAATTGGTTACTGATCATGCCCCTCTCAAGTGGATGTGCGATAACAAGGAGAAAAATAGTTGGGTGACAAGGTGGTTTCTTGCGCTACAAGCATTTAAATTCACATTGGAGCATAGAGCGGGGAAAAACTTCAGGATTATTATTATTATACAGGACTTATATAGTGCCGACAGTTTGCTCAGCGCTTTACATTATGGAGGGAGACAGTACAGTAACAATACAGTTCAATACAAGAGGGATTAGAGGGCCCTGATCCTAGGAGCTTACAATCTAGGAGGGAGGATAATAATGTAGATGCCCTATCCTGTCCCATTGCTTGGTTGGGACAGTTGCTCAGCCGCAGTGGCTTGAGCAGAGGGGGGATATGTGACATTATGAAAAGCGAGGTGATTGATGGACGCTATGTGTCACCTTGCATGTGATCATATCTAGGAGACTAAGCTGGAGTCAAGTCTGGGTATATATATACAGTGGGGCAAAAAAGTATTTAGTCCCCACCAATTGTGCAAGTTCTCCCACTTACAAAGATGAGAGAGGCCTGTAATTGGCATCATAGGTAGACCTCAACTATGAGAGACAAAATGAGAAAAAAATCCAGACAATCACATTGGCTGATCTGGAAAGAATTTATTTGCAAATTATGGTGGAAAATAAGTATTTGGTCACCTACAAACAAGCAAGATTTCTGGCTCTCACAGACCTGGACCTTCTTCTTTAAGAGGCTCCTCTGTCCTGCACTCATTACCTGTATCAATGGCACCTGTTTGAACTTGTTATCAGTATAAAAGACACCTGTCCACAACCTCAAACAGTCACACTCCAAACTCCACTATGGTGAAGACCAAAGAGCTGTCGAAGGACACCAGAAACAAAATTGTAGACCTGCACCAGGCTGGGAAGACTGAATCTGCAATAGGCAAGCAGCTTGGTGTGAACAAATCAACTGTGGGAGCAATAATTAGAAAATGGAAGACATACAAGACCACTGATAATCTCCCTCGATCTGGGGCTCCACGCAAGATCTCACCCCGTGGGGTCAAAATGATCACAAGAACAGTGAGCAAAAATCCCAGGACCACACGGGGGGACCTAGTGAATGACCTGCAGAGAGCTGGGACCAATGTAACAAAGGCTACCATCAGTAACACACTATGCC